CTGGAGGCGATCCCACACTACTGGATAATTCGTTGTTCTTTTTAGACTTTGCCATTTCTCTCTCCTGAGGAAACTTCATCATCGTCATCTGCGGTGACTTTGTTTTCAGTGAGGTCCTTCATTACGAAGTCTTTTCACCTGCTCTCCGGGGATCAGTGAAATAGCTTGCCCAGCGCTACCGAGCCCGGTGCTCTTCTTTTCAGACGCATGAAGCAATATGAAGGGTTATACTAGTCTTTGACCTCCATATCAAATCCACTTCGGCTCTTCCTATCCCCTAATCCTTCGTTGATCCCCTCAAACAATCTCACAACTAGAAATGACCTCTCAGCATTATTAAGCCAGACGCTTACTGGGAACTACTTAGCCAAACAATTATCAAGAGTCAACCAATTACTGGGAACTAATGCGAACATGTGCTATCACAGAAATCATAACCTCACCAACAAACATCAAAGAGGTAAGAAGAGTGCAGGTGAAGGAAGCAATGGTTAGATTCGACGCATAATGCAGTACTTTTGGTAGACCTCATATCACCCGAAGCAAAATTCTCCCGGGATCGGTTCCACGCTGTCATAAATATTTAATCATCAGAGGGTGGATTGAGCATCACCTGACCCTATAAACTCTTGAATGGGCCCAACACGCTTATGGATATCTTCAGAATTTCGGATGGATGCTGGATGTACAGCGTACGCCACCGGGTCTAATCAATGTCTCCGTATGATCTGGACCAGTGAATTGGACTAGCTACTAGTAACTGGAATTTATCTAATATATAAAGTGAGGGAAAAACCCACTTCATCACACGGAGACCTCGCCGCTAGCCAGCAATGATTTTTGCCATGTGAGAGGTCGCACTTACAGTAGCGTGGTAACGTGCCACTTTCTCTGACCAGAATGCAGGGAAACGGTGGTGGAAGGTGTACCCGGGCGACGTCTCCGTTCTCCGCCCATGGTGCCCCGCGGCCACCAGGCCGTAGCCAAATGCGCTGCTTGCCTGCGCACTCTCACACTTAGTTGTTCGCTACCTCTGCTTACGTGTTCGCTATGGGATTTTGATACCTAAGCAAGTGCCGCCAGGGTACAGCATCGTTGTGTGAAACGGGGGGGGGGGGTCGTATGTGGGTTAGAGAGAAATTTGCTGCGCTGGGAGAATATTTTTCTGACTGTTAACTTTTCGCGCGATGTTTCCTGTTTCATGTATACTATATACCCTGCTCCCCCTCCTACCCGCTCAGCAGGAGAATTCCTGGGTAAAAGTAGGGGAATTCTCGGGAAATTCCGGAAAAAGTGGTAGGAAGTCAGGAAAAATCTAAGAAAGTTTTCGTTTCACACCGGCTATATACCCCTCCCCCTCGACGAAAAATCCCTGGGTGAACAACTGGAAAATATGGGGAAATTAGCAGGTAGGTAATAGAAAAGGGGGGGGGGGGTCGTACCGAGACCCTCTCTCTCCTAGGTGGGGAGTTGTACCAAGACCCTCCTGTTCCTACTCCTTCCATCTTGCTTATGCCGGACACGGGTTTCGAAGGATGTTTACTCATCGAACAGCGTCACAAAAAACTAAACCTTACTCCTGGCTGGGAGGAAGCGAATGTGCAAATGGTAAACAACATTGATATCATGGTAGAGGTAAACAAGTGAGGTTCATTCTGTAGAATACAGAAACCTCCTTCGAGAGGGGGGGGGGTCGTACTGGCACCACCATTCGCACATACGATGCTGTACCCTGAGTGCCGCACTCAGAGGAAAACGCAGGAGAGTAGGGAGATGGCACTCTGGTATTACAACCCTCTAGCCCAATTTTCGTGCACTTTTGAGCGGAGAAAGCGGCACGGTACAAACTGCGGATCCATTCATCTTGCACATAGAAAAGACCCTCCTCGGAGGTCAGTATAGAGCTTGTATTTTAAAAAATCAGCGAGAAATAGGTGAGTACTTACCACTTTCATCAGTTCCACTAATCGGTTGAATTCTCGCCTTTCCTCATTCATCTCGTTGTATTCAGCTGTCAATCGAGCTTTTTCTTCCAGCAGAACCTTTTTGCGCTCACTCACCTACAAGTACACACTACAAGGGAAAACTTCTAGCACTTGTGAGCACTTTACAGGAGCCCTAAGGTACCACGTGGAACATGGATCTGTCGTGCACAAACGCCATTAACAAGATCGTCGAGTACGAGTCATCTGCGAACCTACCTTACCTTTTTATAGACCCCTTCGATTGCTTGATTCATGGTGTTCAGAGCGTCGATGAACGAGTCCCGGTAGGCCTCCTGTTTGGCTCTGGAAACAAAAATATACTTCGATTGAGCACAAGAAGACAATTCATTCGCTACAGTTCATCTTACGATGCCTGGATGGGGCGTGCCAACGGACATAGGGCAGCAGAGTGCAGGTAAGCAGTCGCCGCTGGGCTCACTATTGAGTCCGCAGACACGCCCCTTCATCCACCGCAAAAGAAGTAAACTGTAGAGCATGGCACGGACCGGCGCATCAGATGCAGAGGTTTTTTTCCGCATGAAAATTCATGAGAACCTACTGTGGGAGGATTTCTTCAATCTTCGTCAGCATTTCAAATTCCTTTTGAAGGAAATTATTCACATCCACGAGTGTGTTGTTTAGAGTAATATACTGCTTGGTTTGTCGAGTTCTGCTTGCCACTAAAACTTCATTTATACAAATTTAGGTTACGCAAAGCCATGGTTAATGCATTAAAGATGCCTGGGGTAAGTGGGAGGGAGGCACACGGTGGTGCTTACCAGTCTACTTGCTGGCGCCATCCACCGAGACAGAGTGATGTTTGTTCCTTCAAGAGGGCGGACAAGACAATCGCAATCTGCCGCGTCGTTGTGCGCGACGCAATGTGCGGTAATGCTCGGCAAATTCTCGACGTGCATCGGTTTGTCGATTGTTGGAGCAGCGGAACTCATGTGAATTCTAGTGCAGGCAAGTTCCCACTCCGAAAAATATCCCGATAGATCCTCTCCGTCCCTTTCTTACTAACACATTCCAAACCGACGCCTATTTCGCGTAGCGTTCACGTGTGACCGCGACCTTTTTCGATGCAAGGCTGGCGTGACACACATGGTGGGACAGGCGGCCACACGGGGCAGGTTTCAGTCGCGACTTTAAGTTATTGATTATTTCATTCTGAAAATGTGTACCTGCGGGTTATTTCACATGCCAATCACTAATGCGACACTCATTTTTAGCGCTGGCGCCACCTGGCACCAATTAGGCGCCGCGATCGTTGTTTTAGCGAAATGATGTAACTTTGGTAAGGCTTGGGGATGCTCAGGGATCGGCTGATCAATATGTATTACATACATCTTGGACGCCGCCGCACACGCTTGGCGCGGAGCGGTAAATAAGATAATAACTGAAATATTAGCTTCTGAACATCGTGACAGCACATGTGTGTCCCACGCCACAGGAACAGACACGTGTGAGAAGGGCAATGTCGCAGGGAGGGCGCTCGCTTACACCATCCGTTCCCTCATTGTCTTCCCTCGGCTTCAGCTTCACCCTTGGACAGCGCCAGATAGACCCGAGTTTTGTTTTATTTTTTTTTTTCTTTTTTATTTTTTTTTTTTTATTTTATTTATTTTTTTTTTTTATTTTTTTTTTTTGATGCGTGTAACTCTCTCTCCAATTTCAGCTGCAGTGCAGTACCAATGAATCATCAAATTTGGGTAGGGAAACAGTGCGCCACGGGAAAAAAAAAATAAATTTCGCCCCGGTCATTATAAAAAAGAGGGGGGGGGGAGTGAGGAGCGGACATGGACCGTGCGAACAGCGTGAATTCATGGATTTCAAGATAAACTTGAGCTGAGGGTATGTCACAGGTAACGTTTCCCTAGGGATTACGCAGGAAACGATAAGGCAACAAAAATCAGAGTTTATGCAACAACTTCAAAAAGGCACGCCTGCGCATCTCGGAAAATGGTGATTTGCGGCTCTGATACTGATGACGAGATGGCAAATAATACAAAAAAAGAAAGCACTAAAAGCCGTCGCAAAAATGGCCTTATAGGGACGCGCCATGTGCAGCTTGTGTTAGTAAGGCGAACGAAACCAAGGGAAGGACGTGGTCGGATGAGTTCTCCAGTGTGTGTTGGTGCCAGTTTTTCTCCTTATCACCTCACTGCCACCATTTGAAGTGAGAAGTGGGGAGAGTTACTGACGGAACCACCGCGAATCAGGGACCATGGCCAGTGGGCGGAGCCGTGGTTGCATCGTGAGACAGAGCGGCGGCTTTCCTTAACGTCTGTATTTTTGAGCTGCAAAAGCAGTACATCCAGTATGCTTGCAGGAAGGACTACCGTACCCGAGGAAGCTCAAATGAATGCAGTACGTGACTTCAAATCCAGTATCGCAATGTTTCCAGAACCCGCTTTATTCCGAGGCAAAGCTGAGGAGCTAACAGGGAGCTCTGGGCGCGACGGAGTAAACCCTTTCTCAAAGAGCGTTGACAGCAGGTCCAAGTCTGAGGTCCGACTTCTGCACGAATCTTAATCATTCTTTAAAGACACATGGTACGCTCATACAACATTGAGGGTGTATGAGACTATCAGCCCCCAGATGTCGATGTGTCGTGGTCCCCCCGCCCAAACATGCCCAGGAATGGAGATACAGGGCCGTGAAACACGCTAATTCCTTCCATGCTCCGCCCACTGCCTTTTTACGGCGCAGATTCCCGTCGTTCATAACATCCGTCGTAAGCGCGCCTGTCGCTCGCGGCTCCTTGGCACTTTGCCAAGTCCTTTAATTGCGCTCTCAAATACAAGTAAAACGCAATTTCCTGATGCGGATAACATTGGAGGTGCTACAAAATAAGAACAGAAGATGATGACGAGGGCCAGAACTCAAGAGCAACTCGGCTGCATCTGCAGTATCCATCAGAGGCCGCGCATTCCCACAAAACATGAAATAAAAACAGCCCAAGCGTCCCACTCGTTTGTTCTAAGTATTTCTATGGCTTTGGCGCCGGATCGTAGAAATTTACAGGCCAGTTTATCTAATTTGCCTTTCCTTGATTTTTTCATTTTTGTTTTGTTTACATTTACATCGTTGTGCTTCATTTCTAGCCTGTGTCATCTTCATCTTCCTTGTACATGGATTTGTAAGTATAGAGCTACACCTACAAATTTTAATTCGCAATCAAGGACAATTTGCGTCCGTTGCTTGTACTTAAACTAATGAGTAGTGCCGTTTTTATTTTCATGTTTCGTGAAAATACGTGGCCTCCGAGGGATGTTGCAGAAGTGGCACAGTTGCTTTTAAGTTCTGACCCTCGTCATCATCTTCTGTTCTTATTTTGCAGCACCTCCAGTGTTGTCCGCATCAAGAAATTGCGTTTTCCTTGTATTGAGAGCGCAATTAAAGGACTTGGCAAAGTGCCAAGGAGCCGCACGCGACAGGCGCGCTTACGACGGATGTTATGAACGGCGGGAATCTGCGCCGTAAAAAGGCAGTGGGCGGAGCATGGAAGAATTAGCGTGTTTCACGGCCCTGTATCTCCATTCCTGGGCATGTTTGGGCGGGGGACCACGACACATCGACATCTGGGGGGCTGATAGTCTCATACACCCTCAATGTGTAGCGCGATCTATCATCTTTAAATGTTTTTTTTTGTGTAACTTACTTTCATTGTACAACTCTATCAATCGTTTGTGGTACTGAGCCATCTCCAGGGGTGAAGGAACGCTGTCCAATTGGTATGAATACAGTGCTAAACGTTGATTGACCTAAAAAATTCAAAGATAAAAAATTTGATGCGCGGGCGGAGACTTCCAAACAAAGGGTGCGAGGTAGTACAAATGGATTAAAACCATCACCTCCAGCGGCATACGCATCACCTTTCGTGGATCAAATCCCGTCAAATTTTCTTCTCCCCTACGACACCTCTCTCACAACCGCCCAACGACCACTACTATCTCTCCCAATTCAGTCAAGCGAAAAAGTGAGCGGGGTGGGGTAGGTACCACCTCGGATCAACTATCACAAATGGTAATTTTGCAACACCGCCAACAGAGTAGCTCGTACGTTGGAGATCACTATAGGGTTGACTTGGTCGCTGGAAGGAGGAAGGGAGGCAGGGAGGATGTTTATTGTTTTGTAAAGGAGAAGGAGCCGACTTGCCTTGTGAAGAAGTTTCGACTATCGACCCTTTGTCCTGGTTCTTCCCTACACGCGCGCCTAATTCCCCCCTTCCCGGCGGAAAGTTTTAGAAAAAAAACTGGAGAACTTAGAAGCAAAAGCGAAACGGGGTAGGAAATTAGTAGAACTGGGAAGAGGATGGGGAGACAGCTTAACGGGGAGTTGTACCAGAGGGAGGAGTTTTGAGAAGGAGCGGTCGTATTTTTCGGAAATTTCCCCGAAATGATCACGTGCCCTAACAGCGTCCTAGCGACTACCCTCGCCGGACCCCCCCCCCATCTTGTGTGTTTTTCACAATGGTGATGGTTGACGGGCCTGCTGCGTCTCGCTTTCTGAACCCGTTCGAGTCCCCCACTGGAATATGGAACAGTGCAGGCCTAAATTAGAACTCCCCCTCCCACAAATATTACTCTGCTTCGACAGAAGTCTATTTCATGTACTACAGGACTAGCAGTTTTATTTTGCAGTGCACGGATTGAAGTTCTTTGATAAGTTAACAAGTTGAATGGTGCTGCAGGTGCCAGTGCAGAATTTTCATCAACACTACTCCTCTCTCCCCCCCCCCCCCTCTCCCACGTCACGTAACGAAGGAGATGAACATGTTTTAGCCATGTTTTAAGCTTTTTTAAGATGCGGCCCGCATTTACTTCCATCAGGATTGCACCGCATGGCCCTTATAATGATATACAGGGTTAGCCGATGTACAGGTCAGCGATCTTATCCTTCCTGACAAACTTGGTATAGAAAGCTTGGTAAGCCTTTGCGGGATTTGGCCATCGGATCGCGCGTAGGCCATCCTCTCTTCAGAGGGAAAATAAGCCAGGAGGGATATGTACAGGAAATGAACGAGATCTTGATATTCCAGAGAACAACTTGATATAAGTTCCGCAGGATTAGTTTATGAAAGCTTTTAAGCTCATCAAAATCCCGAAGCCAAAAAAAGGAGAAGAAACTTGTTAAGCAAAACCTACTTCGGCTAGTTGTAATCGTTCAGCGGCTACTTTTTGTTCCATTCTATCAATTGCTCCTCAGTCTGAAATAATAACTTATAAAAACGATACTACCACCTTCATACGATAGTCCTAAATCAGTAAAAGGAACCCCGTCCCCGTCAATGTGGCGGTTTCTCGAAAGTCCAAGGAGTTTGGAGAAATGGATAAAAACTTGTGCGTTAGTAATGTTGGAGGGGCATTCAGAAGGCTCCTCGTGCAAAACCTGGAATCAACGTTATCCGACTAGAATTACCGCTCTTAGAACACGGTTATACATCTCAACCTCATTCTGCTATTCGGCATAGCTAAAACCTCAATTTCATTGGTGCAATTCTAGTTTTCGCCCATAGAGTCCTTTGAATGCACCTCCAAGGGTTTCAGCGCCAAGTCTTCTTGAATGAATTACCCGGGGTTCATTAAATACTGCAGAAGGTCCAGGTCTGGCGGGAAGGACTCTTCCTAGGCATGACGGATGATGGGCAAGCTCATAACATCTTCATGGCAGCTCAAACAATTCGACAAGACTACTTCAGGGATGAACTTTTTAGTCAATTACAACCCTCAAAACTATGTGACGTCCATCGAAGAGCAAAAAGAGGCGTTCCCGCAATGGCTGCGAATACTGACTGTTCGCTATCACATAGATGCCTCTGCCTGTCTCTCTCGACAAGATCACGGCCGACGCCGTTCTCGCAGCCACATCTCTTGCTGCTCTCAGATATGGAATGTAAAAGCGCTAGATTACTGAAACGCTGACGTACAATCTCTTCAGCATTTTCGTATTCTTTTAGCTCTTGACGTAACGCCTCCAGTTCCGCTTCAGCATCATCCTTGTATCGTTGTTCGCGTTCATTCATGGCATCCATCTCTTCCACTATTCTCCGTGCCTCAGCGATTTCTCTAAAAGGATATCCGATAAATCATAGAAACAAGCTTAACATGAAGGTGATAGCTCTTTAATGACAAACTGACACTTGTTCACCTCATGGACCCAGGTCCTTTCCAAGAGCGGGGTGAATGGGTCCGCAGCTGCAGTAGCGTGCCACTTTCTCCGGTCAAAAGCACGCAAACGGGCCATCGATGGTAAGTCGATGCCCGTATTCGTACACCTCCCGAGCTGCCGTACGACCAGCCACACACCTAACCATAGCTCAACGTGCTACTTGTTGCACCCTCTCACTTCTGGTTGTTCTCTACCGCTGACAGCATGTTTGCGCTGCGGATTGTGGAGATCGGCCCAAGAGCTGCACACTGGGGATAGTGCGGGCGGAGTATGAAAACTGCATCCGGGTCTCACTAATCCCCAGCTCCATTCCAATGCACTTTCGAGCGGGAAAGTATACGTCTACTGCAGCTGGCGAACTCAATGCACGCTCATTACACTCATGCACCTGCATGTGGAATGAGAACATTCTGCCAGCTGCCAGGGTCAAAAAGACCGCCGATGCGATCGCACTCTTAGCTACCTACTACTCGGACCCGAGCGGGGCCAAGAACCTTTTAAAGACACATGGTACGCTCATACACATTGAGGGTGTATGAGACTATCAGCCCCCCAGATGTCGATGTGTCGTGGTCCCCCGCCCAAACATGCCCAGGAATGGAGATACAGGGCCGTGAAACACCTCATTCTTCCATGCTCCGCCCTGCATCTTTAAGCGGCGCAGATTCCCGCCGTTTCATACATCCGGTCGTAAGCCGAGCCTGTCGGCGTGCGGCTCCTTGCACTTGGCCAAGCTCCTCTTAATTGCGCTCTTCAAATACAAAGGAAAACGCAATTTCCTGATGCGGATAACACTGGAAGTGCTGCAAAGTAAGAACAGAAGATGATGACGAGGGTCAGAACTTAAAAGCAACTGTGCCACTTCTGCAACATCCCTCGGAGGCCACGTATTTCCACGAAACATGAAAATAAAAACGGCATACTCGTTAGTTTAATACAAGCAAGACGCAAATTCCTGATGCGAATGAAATTTTAGGTATTGCTCATGCTTCAAAATCCATGTACAAGGAGATGAAGATGACACAGGCTAGAAATGAAGCACAACGATGTAAATGTAAACAAAACAAAAATGAAAAAATCAAGGAAAGGCAAATTAGATAAACTGGCCTGTAAATTTCTACGATCCGGCGCCAAAGCCATAGAAATACTTAGAACAAACGGGACGCTTGGGCTGTTTTTATTTTCATGTTTTGTGGGAATGCGCGGCCCTTGATGGATACTGCAGATGCAGCCGAGTTGCTCTTGAGTTCTGCCCCTTGTCATCATCTTCTGCTACTTATCTTTGTAGGGCACCTCCAATGTATCCGCATCAGTGAAATTGCGTGGTTCCTTGTATTTGAGAGCGCAATTAAAGGACCTGGCAAAAGGTGCCAAGGAGCCGCACGCGACAGGCGCGCTTACGACGGATGTTATGAACGGCGGGAATCTGCGCCGTAAAAAGGCAGTGGGCGGAGCATGGAAGAATTAGCGTGTTTCACGGCCCTGTATCTCCATTCCTGGGCATGTTTGGGCGGGGGGACCACGACACATCGACATCTGGGGGGCTGAATGAGTCTCATACACCCTCCAGTCTTATCGAGGCGTACATGTCCTTTGAACAGGCATTGTCAATAGCTTAAGCACGGTGGTGGCCCTCTGCCTGAATTTCTGATGATTTCGGTAAACTAGGTAAACTTAATTGCTCAAAACCCATCAGAGGCGGGGGCTCGAGTTCGCACTTACCATTAGTCGCTGAGGGAGGAGAGGAGACGCACTTAGTCTTGCAAAAATGTTTCCCGTTTTTATTTTAGTGCGCGCTTGAGTTCATTATAATTCAGGCTACTTTTCGAACGAAATCTTTCTTGCGACCATGAGATAGCTTGCCTCCTCCCAAATCTGGTCGACCCATCTAGATAGCTTCCTCCCGAGTTGACAGCTTTTACCACGATGGCTGGGGCAGCTTGCTCCACCTTCACAAGAGATCACCCAGCGCATGCCAGTAGGCTCACCAAGAGCCGAGACTTGTGTACCAGAATTAGTGAAGCAACGAAAGTGCAAAGTGTCCCCCCCGTCGACAAACTGCGCCCCGGGGGCAAAACTCTAGCCGAAGTCCTGTCTGGCATCGGTACCCACAGGTAAATTCGCGAACTAAATTGCAATTACTTCTTCGCTGACTACATAAAATGAATTGCTGACAGTTCGAACGGAGACCGATCTCGGTAATTCACACGTATTAACTGAAATAAGGAGTGCGCGGGGCAGAGCGGATCGAAACGATGGCGAAACACGAAGGACAATAAGAAATGGGAAAATGGTAGACTAATCGAAAATTTAGGCACATGTCAGACGTGGCCTAGCTTCGCTAAGTGTTAAACGCCCTTTCAAGGCACGTAATGCCGCGTAAACAAGACTCCATATATACGCTCCGGAAACGTACTCAGGGGTGAAACGCTTGTAAATTTCCTCCACTTCTCTCTTTTTCTTCATTACGGCCTCATATTCAGCATCCGCTTCAGCGAGTTCTTGTTGTTTTGGCCTCGAATTGCCTTTCTGTCGAATTTCCTTCGCAGTTCTTTGAGCCTTAAACAAGAATTGAGGCATAAAGCAACCGATAACAAGGTAAAAAAGTTCCTCGAAGAGAAAACTGTACCTCCTCAAGTTGAGCCGCAAAAGCATCTTCACTATCCCCAGCAGCCGATGCGTTGCCCTGAAACAGCAATTCAAAGCCTTGAAAAACTTCATAGTCTTCGCTATAGCAACAGATAGCTGGTGTAAAGTCTACGAGAAGCCTGCTACTGATACTCTTATCGACATCCATGAGCGCTCAACTTTATTCCATATCCCAGAGATGGGGAGTGCGTGGCTGGTACTTCATGTGGCAGGTGTATGGCTGCTTCCAATTTTGCAGGATTTTGCCCTTATCGGACATTTAGTCTTCCTCACTCGTGAAACAGGACTGCAGTGGTCCCGAATGAAAATGTCGTGAGGAAAAAGTCTTCTGCGCCGAGTTCAAACGAACTGCGCAGCTATGCCCTCCCCACCTCTGGAATATGGAGTGCACCAGTTGTCTGTTTCTGAATTCCACGTTCCACCTGAAATACTAACATTCAAAGCAAAATATGCTAGAATTAAAGTGGGTGATGCTATCCTGAATTTGGCGTGAAGTGTCGGAAAATAGAACGAATAGTTCCATAGTTACATGTAGCACCAGTAAAACCGGAAGGAGTCGTCCAAGGCTGCTACAGTGTATCACGTGTATCGATCGATATACATGGTTGATATCGCCGCAGTTAGTCCGGGAGGTGCTAGGAGGGGCAAGATGAGCCCTGTCCGCGGCTGCCTCTTCTATCAGTCACTGAACAATCACTATTGCTACAGTGATTGTTCAGTGATTGATAGAAGGAGAAAGCAAACCGGTGGTACAGCGTTGTTCGCTGTGGACTGTCAGTGACTGACTGCTGACTGGGGCGTGTCGGTGAGGCTGGGTTTGGCGCAGCGCCAGCCGTCTTCCACCCAATATGGTCACCCACCAGCTTCCACAACTGATGCAGAACCGGCTAGCGCCACCCCGAACTCAACCCTCTGACACGCCTCACAAGACTGTAGAAGTTGGCGCGGGTAGTTGGACGCCGGCCCGATTGATTTTCACGATGTCAACCGTATGTATTGTCCATATCGGAGGGCACCTAGGGGGGTGGGTGTAGTCCCGTGGAGGCTCTTTCATCTTATGCATGCGAATCAACCTCTGTCGCAGACATGCCGCCGTCGCAGTCATGCCTTCTGTTGCATGTGTGGACTGTACAATATGAGATGGAAGATGCTCGAAAAATTCAAAGTAATATAAAAAAGGGCGGGCGTTGGGGTGGCACTTGGCGCACGCCCCTTGTTGCGCTCAAATATAGACTGTAGCAATATCAGGACGAAGATGCTTGAAAAATTCAAAGTAATATAAAAAAGGCGGGACGCTGGGGACGAGACTTGATGCTTCCTGTGTAAAGGAATTTTTTGAGAGGGCATTCCGAAGAAAATCGAATGCACATCATCAAGGAATGTTCCCCACTGATGCCCAGGTGTTCATCTTAGAAGTATAAAACGACACAGCCAACCCTCCCCTCAGCGAGTGTTCCGCAGGCGCAACCTCAACCGAAATGTGTCAGTACATGGTGTGAAGCTTGTTTCAGTTGAACTCGCGGTCAAAAACCGATAGTAACGCCTCATTCCTGCGGATATCTGTATATAAAAACCTACCTGGTACAGGCTTGTCGCTGCGGATGATGAAGCGAGTCAAGCGGGATGAGTTTGGCGTGGCGCCAGCTTACTTTTTTTCTTTCTTTCGACGAAAGACAAGACTGTACAAACATTCGTATGAGCTCTTTTCCACCAGTTCTTGTCACTTAGCTACTTCAGCAACAGATGGAGAACGGATTGGCGGCACCCAAACCCTGCCCCACTGACACGCCCTTCTT